AAGAGTATTACAAAAGATGTTCTGATTCCCTCAGCAATGACAGGATGGTTGTAGCACAGTAAGTTCAGTATCATTTAAAATGTTCATAATGTTGTACAACCTTACTACCATCCATCTCTATAAACCTTTTCATTTTGTAAAACTGAAACTCTGCAACCATTAAACAATAATTCCCCATTTCCCCATCCCCCTAGCAATCACCATTCAACTTTCTGTCTCTATGATGTTGACTATTCTAAGTATCTCATGTAAGTGGAATCATACAGAATTTGTCTTTTTGTGACTGGCTTATTTCATTTAGCAAAATGTCCTCATAATATCCACGCATGTTGTAGTATGGGTCAGAATTTCCTTCCTTTTATGGCTGTATAATATTCCATTGAATGTATGAGTATATACCAAATTTTGCTTATCCATTCATCCCTTGAACCCATCCTTTTCTTTGAAGTCAAATCTAACACGAGGATAAAAACTAACCTGAGAAGATTGTTGTCCCAAATTTAGAGGTTGCTACATTATAAAGATCTTTTCACATAAGACCTCAAAGAATCTCATGTACTTTCTCAATTTGGATTCTGAATCTGTAGTATAATTCTGAAGCACTGCCTAAAATCCACAAGTTACTTCAATGGCAGAAGTAACTAATTCTAACTAATTTTCTCTTGGATGTCCTCAGAATATTCTAATTATAAGATAATTCCTTGCCTCCTTCTACTCAGAAAACTATACAGTAGCAAGAATTCACCACCACTGCAAAGCCTTTCTTTGGGGCTATGATCAGAGTGATCTCCTCCAGACTTCAGAGCTTAAGGTATCTGCATAATTCGCTTGGCACTTCATCATGGGTGATCTGTTTTTACGGCATTCACTTCTTCTAATGATATCGTAAATGGTTAAATTTTATTTCATATTTTTGAGCATATTCTGTCTGTCCAATTAATCTGAATCTTGTGTTCACCTCTTCTGATGCCTCCCACACAGTAAGCAATCCGTAACTATCAATTAATTTGATTCTTCCCTTTGCCTCCTTCCTCTTCTAGTCTTTTTTCTTGGGAAAACTTGGGCTTTTTCTAGATCATTCCTTCTGAGAAGGAGAAAAATGAAGTAAGCACTGTTCCCTCCTACTGGCAGAACTCCCTGGCAAGCAATGTTAGAGAAAATGCCATGATTTACACAATCAATCACTAATTATTTCACCTTCTTCTAAGATACAGACTGGAGGAACTCAAGCCTATAAAATATTTGTATTAATCCAGCACTGTCACTCAGTGAAAATGTTTATGTATTGTATAGCCCTGCCCGAGCCCTATATAAAAAGGGAAGTAGAAATTAGGCCGACTGTAAAGTTTCTTTCATGAGTTATAGGTATGTTTTCATAATTTTTTAAAAAATTTAGTATTATCACCCCCATTTTGTTGTCTTGGAATATAGTATTCTGCTTCATTCTTTTGACAAATATTAATTGAGACTCATAAGGATCTTTGGGACATATCAGAGAACAAATAAGATAAAACTCTGTCCTCAAGGACCTCACATGTTCTTAACAGGTATCTTCTGCATCATTTAAACTCCATGTAATAAGGCTTCTGTTGACAAATATTGTTACTGAATTTTCATTAACAGAAATAGTGCTACGTATACATATATTAGTTAATGCAAAACTAAAAGTTTAAAGGGCACAGAAATTAAATACAACTGACTTTAGCAATTCACCTTTCAGTAAACTAGTCAAAAAAAAAAAAAAAAACCCTAAAGTTATGCAATAAAGAATACACAATAACTCTATAAAGTGAATAACTTTTAATCTTC